TTTTTCGTACTTATACCCCGCCCTCCCCCGTGGGCTCAGGGCGGCTTACAGAGGCAAGAACACTTGCCATGGTAAAACAATCATATACATAACAATTTAAAACATATACTACATATTAAAATCTTAAGTTAGATCTTAAATTAACAAAGTGCTCAGTGCCATTCATACTCAAAACATGGCGGATCATCTGTCCAAAGTCCCAAGGAGACGGCAGAAGGATTGTTCCATAATAGATGTTTCATCGGGACCTCAGGGCGGTGGTAGTATAGTAGGGGCGGCGGCTCCTACTCGAAAGCCTGGCGGAAGAGCTCCGTCTTGCAGGCCCTGCGGAACTGCATCAGATCCTGCAGGGCCCTGATCTCCTCCGGGAGCTCATTCCACCAGGTAGGAGCCGCCACCAAAAAGGCCTCGTGGCGGCTAGTTTGACCTCCTTGGGGCCCGGATTGTTGCTCCCATGTCATGTTTTGGTGTGTCTGAGGAAGTGAATTCAGGTTGCAGTTATGCAGGCCATTTATTTAAATATACCCTGCTTGTCTCCTCAGTGGGAACCTAGAGCAGCTTACAACATCATTCTCTTTCTTTTCCATTGTATCCTCACAGCAAACCTTTGTGTGACGAGCCTGAGGTCACCCAGCAAGCCCCCATGACAGAGTGGGGGCTTGAACTTCGACCTTCCAGTTCCTAGTCCAATGCTAACAGATACACCATGCAGGTTTCCCCTTTTTCTTTTTCCTTTGTTGGCTGCAGCTAACTTTCCCTCCTGCTTTCTCCCACACTACCCTCGTAGGTTATAAGATTCCAGTGATTGAGAACCTGGGTGCCACCCTGGACCAGTTTGATGCCATTGACTTTTCTGACAATGAGATTCGGAAGCTGGATGGGTTTCCCCTGCTGAGAAGGCTGAAAACATTGCTGATGAATAACAACAGGTTAAGGTGAGTGTTGCAGCAGCCCTTGTGAGGCTTGTGGCCTTTAAAAAATCCCATTTAGTCTATTGGCTGTTGATCAAACCTCTTAACGGGATTGTCAGTTGAAGAAAAACTGCTGAGATTAGAACAAGATAATATGCCTCGTCTTCAATTAATCCTGTGCTTTTCTTTTCTTTCCCCCTCTATTATTCCAGCCGAATAGGTGAGGGACTTGAGCAGTCTTTACCAAATCTGAAGGAACTCATTCTTACCAACAATAACATCTTGGAGCTGGTAAGTCGAGGCAAGGATGGAGGAAGTTGAAACAGTGTTGAGCCAGTTGCCTAGATCTCTAGGAGGATGCCGGTTCAAAGTTTGGACCGGGATTCCTTGTGCTTAGTTCTGCCCTGTTTTCCTGTCATATATTGGTTCCTTAACAGGGACTTTTGACGCATTTGAAACAATGTCCATATTAGAAGGCAGTTTGCCAGAGGGTTGTTAAAACTGCTGCTGGCCGTTGTTTCCTTGTTAGTGTGTAAAATGAGATGCAGCATAGAAGAAGATAGTGTTCTTTCACAGAGCTTTTGTTGGCAGAAAAGTTAAAAGGCCTCCCCCCAGCTTTATGAGGATGTTGTTCTATAAATGGCTTTGTTTGGAACAATGCAAGAGAAGAGGCAATAGTTACAATAATGGGAGCAGTGTCTTCTGGTAGTGGGCATGCATGGAGGTGTTGATATTACAACTTGGGAGGATTGAAAATAAATGTACCGCCGCAACTGCCCATCTGGCTTCTCTTACTTGCCTCACCCTTATATACTAGCAGTGAAAGTGGGTGCCTGAATTGTGGGTCTTTAAAAAGTGGGCACAGAGGGACAAGGAAAGTGCTGTTTGAAAGTACAGTGTTGAGGTGGTGGTTGCATCATTCCTGTGTTGTGTCCCACTTCTGATGGACGGCAGTCACAGCAGACTGCTGATGTCTGAAATAATTGACAAGCAAAACTCAAAGCCACAGCGTCTTCTGTGGGTGGCACACAATGTCCAATGCTGCCAAGTTCAAGTAAAGGGGTGGTGAAGTGGGAATCCTGGGATTTCACCTTTGGAGAGAAACTGAACCAGGAATGAGTTCTTGGCTCTTTGGTGTAGGTAGGGTCTGGAAAGGCAGCTGTGCCGGCAGGAGCCATGTCAGCCTGAGCAGGCTGCTTACTGTTCTTAAGGGCACCTCTCTGGTGCAGCAGTGGCTTTCACCAGCTTCCAGTGTGCCGCTGAATTTACCAAGCTAGCTGCCTTATGTGGAGCCATCCCATTGGCTGATCTAGCTCTGCATTGTCTAACTGTGATTGGCAGCAGCCCTCTAAGGAGAAGCCTTTTCCCAACTTCATTCAGCTGATAACTCTGTGAGGGCAGAGCAAGGTAGCTCCTCTGTTTTGGTAACATTAATGAGAAGCTAGATCTTTCAACAAAGAGCATAAGAACAGCCCTGTTGGACTGGACCAGTGGTACACCTAATTGAGTATCCTGTCTCACATAGTGGCCAACCAGTTACTCTGGAGGGCCAGCAAACAGGGCATAGAGGACAAGGCCTTCTCTTGATGCTGTCTCTGTATATAAAGGTTCCCTTTACTCACCATGGCTAGTAGCCATGAATCTGCCTAATCTTTTAAAGTCATTTACACTCATAGCCATCACTGTGTCCGATGACTGCATTCCATAGCTAATCACTCACTGAGTAAGGAGGTATTTCCTTTTGTCTGTCCTGAACCTGTTGCTCATCATTTGGTGCCTTCTCCGTCTACTGTTATGGGGGACAAAAAGCTCTGTATTCACTTTCTCCCCTCCATGTACAATTTTATAAATGTCTAATAGCTGTCTCGTTTCCTAGACTCAGGTCCCAGATTTTCCAGCCATTCCTCATAGGAAAGGTGCCTCAGCCCCTTAATCCTCTTGACTGCTCTCTTCTGTACTTTCCCCCAACTCTGTAATATCCTTTTAAAGATATAGCATATTGTGTGAGGGCTGCTGTTACTTGTCCTTCCAGATAGGTATCCTATTAGCAAATCTGAAGCCTTGACATGGCCCTGTGAAACTCAGGAGATTTGGAAGTGTTTTTGTGTGTGAGTGTGTGTGTGTAAGTCTCTGGATGGCAGTGAATGCACATTTCAGGTCTCTATCTGCAGATAAAATGTGCTAAGAAAACCACAGGCTCTTGAGCACAAGGAGCAAAATCCATATTAAAAGATGTCCTTGGTGGCAAACATCTTTTACTCTGCTCACTAGGATTCGTATGCATAGAGCTATAAACAGTAAAGTAAATTGTCTGCTTGCGGCCAAATTTTGTTAAGTGCCGAGTGCCAAAATATCCATATGGCCGAGATCATTTTTTGCAGTTTCACAGCCTCTGCTATCCCCGTTCTCCTTCCTGAGTAAACAGTCTCTTCTTCTTCCCCCATAAACATTTTGGCAATGCAGCTGCTCTTGCCCTCATTTTAAGTTCCTGAGTAGCACCACGTCTGGAGCCTCACGGATTGCATATCTGCAGCCACCACTGGTTCCTTTGCACGTCTGAGCGGGGAAATGGATTGGGTGGGGGAAAGGGCAACTGTGTGCTTATGCGAAGTGCAACAGTCTTAACCTTTCCAAAATCAAAATATAATATAATATGACTTTCATAAATTTGATTAAGCCTCAAGTTAATCTCTCCCTACACTCCAACCATGTTCTGTACCAAGAATGTATCCAAAAGGCCGATGATTTGGCAGTCAAATAATGGAGTGGTGCATGTGGTCTGAGAAGATCCTGGAATGTATCATTGTAAAAGATTGTAAATCTGGATGGTTTCTAAAGGGGGGAAAAATTCTCCTTGATAAGGCCCCCTACTTGATTTGTGCAAAATAAATAACTTCTGACATTCATGGCTATATTCTGTGCCATGAAAAATTCATTTGGGTGCTGGGACAGCCAAAGTCTTCTGCCAAAACGCCTGTCATTATGACTGGTGGGGTTCCGCTTCTTGCATCATTGCTGGCACAGTTGAGACTTTTAATTGTATTCTGGTTTACACAGAAGATAGCTACAGAGAACTGCAGTTTAGCAGCCCCTGGGATCCTGTTTATACTTTTCAAGAAAGAAATAAAACTATGGGTGGGAACTTACCCCCCACCCCCATTCAGTTTGTATTTGCGTGTTGTGTTTGTAAAGAGTGACTGGCTCTGTGCCTTCAGTTGCAGCTGGGAAACCTCGCACTTGTTTACGCGGCCAGAATTCCAGTAGTCTTAACGTGACATTATTAACTCCTCTGAGTGCAAAACAAGGATGTTTCTAGTGTTTTCAGGGCTAGCTTATGCAGTTGCTTGAACTGTTAGTCTCTATACACGCAGTGGTGTCAAACTCATTTGTTATGAGGACCGGATCTGACATAAATGGGGCTTTGCCAGGCCAGGCCACGTGGGTCATAAAATGTAATGCCAGGTAGCAAAGGTAGTAACTCTATAAATTCAAGTTTTTAAAGCTTAAAATACAAGCATGCTTAAAACAGTGACACTCCTGCCATATTTTGTTTATTTAACAGTCAGTTTGGTTAGGAGCGCAGACTCTAATCTGGGAGGACCGGGTTTGATTACTCACTCTTCCTCGTGCAGCTGCTGGTGTAACCTTGGGTCAGTTACAAGTTCTTTTAGAGCTGTTCTCTCACAAGCAGTTCTCGAAAGAGCTCTCTCAGCCCCAGCTACCTCACAAGGTGTCTGTTGTGGGGAGAAGAAGGGAGATTGTAAGCTGCTTTGAGACTTCTTCGGGTAGTGAAGGGTGGGGTATAAATCCAATCTCTTCCTTCTTCTCCTCTTCTTCTTCTGTAACTGACACCTCCCAAACCTTCCTCCCCACCCTTAAAAGATGCCTGCCTAAATTTTGCTATGCAATTTTTTAAATAAAACATCAAGAAAAAGCACAAGGATCACAGCTGAAACTAAAACTAAAATTATAAAATGCTCTGAGCCTAGGAAAACATGAAATGGCTGGACATTGCAAGCTCCCCCCTCCCCCCCCCCGGTCTACTCAGAGTGGGAGCGGCTCTCCAATATAATCTCTCCCTTTGGCTGTGGGTTCCCAGGCTAGAGCACTCACTCAGGCACCCATTCTCTGGTCCATTCAGCAGAGACAAGCTGGCTCAAAACCTCAGCCTTTTATTTGCCAGGAGACCACTTCAGATGACATACAAACACTGGATTGCAAAGAAAATGCAGAATGGATTTCCCATTAAGGTTTCTGGGCCCACTCTTTCACAGCTGTTCTCTCAAGGACAGTTCTGGAAAGAGCTCTCTCAGCCCCACCTACCTCACAGGGTGCCTGTTGTGGGGAGGGGAAGGGAAAGGAGATTGTAAGCCACTCTTGAGACTCCTTCGGGTAGTGAAGGGCGGGATATAAATCCAATCTCTTATCTCTCTAATCTTACTCTGGGTCTGGAATAACAGCCCCCAGAGTGGAATTCCATTCCCAGAACCCAGCTGCTACTCTCAGGGACCATCATTCCACCATGGGGGCTGTCATT